CTGTTATTCGGCAGCCTGTTGGAATCACAACAGTCTTTGCAATGTAAAATAGCAATTTTTGGACCAAATGAATTAATAATCTTAAATGATAAATCAGGCAAAGAAATGATTTTCTCTTAACTCATCAGTATTGCCATTCACATATTGGTGATTAAAAAACGTCAATGTCATTAAAAAATGATCATACTTGTAACTATATTAACTATACTGTGACTTTTTATTAAAATTTTTCCCCCTTGTTTTGAATTTTTGTCATAATGTTGACTGAATTATTTACAATGGTAAATAATTATACAAAAAAATGGATTTTTAAAAATTACATCTGGTTGTGTGGTCATGAATATTGCACCAGCTTTGAATGTTATCAGTAGATATAATAGGCATTCAGTATAATAGGCAATCAGTGGTTATCAGCTAATAGATATGAGACAGTAGAGGCCTTCTGCACCTACTAGTAGGCTCAAAAGGATGTTATCATCCATCCACATGGTTAATCAGCTATACTGATAGAGAAGACTACAGATCCAGATCTGTTTTGACATTACTGTGACAGTTGGGTTTAGGGTAGACGTTAAAACAATGCAATTAATGGGACACTTTATAAATATAAATAATTCTTGTTAACTTCAAGTTGCAACCATGTGATCTATAGCTGATTAACCATGTGTATGGGCGATAACAGTCTTCTGAGCCTACCAGTAGGCGCAGAAGGCCCCTACTGACCCATATCTATCAGCTGATAACCACTTATAATGCCCATTCAATTAAGTTTTAATATTCGAATCGACTGAATATAAAATCATAGTGTAAGTATTAAACTATAATAATCTGTCTTAGTGTTACATTTTAAGTAAAAAATACAAATAAAACACAAATAAATGTTAATATGTTATATTTGTATACAAGGCTGGATTTTTAAAAATCACATATGAATGTTTGAACCAATAATTCAGTGTTAAACTGTATTATCATGACTTTTTTAACTTGTGTTATAATTATGAATTTTGGTAACTTAATTTTGACTTGTTATATAATTTTGTTGTTTATTAATGATTTCCACCCTAGTTTTGATTTTTTTTCTATGCATCGATGGATTTGCTCTTTAGTGTTTAGGCCCTCAGTAGTGATGATTAAACCACACTGAACTAAGCTAAACTGAACTTAAACACTAAATACTAAACTACACTGTTTCAATTTACTATGATCTTTTATGTGAAGCTGCTTTGACACAATCTACATTGTAAAAGCGCTATACAAATAAAGGTGAATTAAATTGAAATATATATAATTAGCAAATAACAAAGTGTTTTTTACTTTCCAAATACAGATTACATTCGATTTAAACGATTTTGATACATTGTAATTCTAAATCATTTGGGAAATGATTGTTTGAAGGCTTATTTGCCACATTAAGTGTGAACTGATGAATCATTCATTCATTTTCTTTTCGGCTTAGTCCCTTGATTAATCTGAGGTTACCACAGTGGAATGAACCACCAACTTATCCAGTGTACGTCTTTACGCAGCGGATGCCCTTCCAGCTATAACCAATCCCCGGGAAACATCCATACACACTCATTTACTTCAAACAATTTAGCCTACCCAATTCACCTGTACCGCATGTCTTTGGACTGTGGGGAAAATCGGAGCACCCGGAGGAAACTGACGCGAATGCAGGGAGAACATGCAAACTCCACACAGAAACGCCAACTGACCCAGCCGAGGCTCGAACCAGCGACCTTCCTGCTGTGAGGCAACATACACATAATATACACATCACACATACAAATGAAATGGAGGCAAGGAGAGCACAATGTTTTCAGCATTTTAAAGAGCCAGAATTATGTTTGCTAGAGGCCAGGTGACCGAATGAGCTCTTTGGCCAGAAAACAAAGCTTCTCAGCCTTGCAAATCAATATGCCTTTCCCCATAGTTACAGTGTAATTTATTTGTGTCATGCTTTTCATTGTAAATGCCTTTCCAAAGAAAAAAGAAACACAAAATTAGCTTCTTGAATGTGTGCGTTTTGAAAATGCTGAATGTTTATAACAATAATGTAGCTAAATATCCAAACAATATTTACAATGCGACAATCCTAAATTTGCCAAAAATGCCCAGTAGTTTGTGTGACAAAGTACTTTTGTTTATTTTACATTTATATCTTTTACCTGCTATTAAAAATTGACCCAACTTATTTGGACCTCTCACCATTTTATTTTACTTTTCAGGTGCTGCTGGTTGCAATTCCTGAATTTTCATTGCTAATTTTAAGCCAATTGTAACAGTTTGTTTTGGTTCAATTTCAAATTTCCCCAACACTCGCAAAGCCCGGGGGACCAGAGTAAGCGCTCCAGCATGGCCTCCTCTGATCCCCTCTCATCATTTTATCGATCGGAATTCATGTTTAATATCGGTAAACAGTAAAGCCCCACCTCGCATCCCCGCCGCCTGTTAGGGCATTGCAGGTGAATATGGTAAAAAAAGAAAAGAATTATTAGTTATCATCACACTTCCCTGGCTGATAGAATATAAATCTAGATTATCTTTAAATATTATATTATGCAAATGACTAACTATTTTAATAAATATGTGCTAATTTGCGTACACTTTAGCACAGGGGTGCCCAAACTCGGTCCTGGAGGGTCGGTGTCCTGCATAGTTTAGCTTCAACTTTCTTCAACACACCTGCCAGGAAGTTTCTAAAGAGAGCTTGATTGGCTGGTTCAGGTGTGTTTAATTGGGGTTGAAACTAAAATATGCAGGACACCGGCCCTCCAGGACCGAGCTTGGGCACCCCTGCTTTAGCAAAAAATGGCAAAAATTCTTGGTTTTGAAAGGTTGTTACAGAGAGCATTTTATTATCACTCAAAATAATTTAAAATTAAATAAATATAAAAATTAAATGTAAAATCAAATATTTTTTATTAAATAAAAAATATTTTATTCAATGAATTGGTAAACAAAATCGGCAAAATATCCCTGACACTGAACATATGCTTTTAAAAACCTTCAGAGTATGAATTTAACTGGACATTTACGTTCAAGAGGAAAAAGTTCATGTTTAGAAAATTTTAAAAATATGTATTGTAATTGCAATCATTATACATTGATAAGTGTAATAAAAGAAACAACTTACTCTGGACATTTTCTTTTCTATTAAAAAAAAAAAAAAAAAACTTTATGAAAAGCCAAAAAGCCCAGAAATTAAAGTTGCCAAATGCATGAAAAAACATATTTTTAACGCTTTATTAATATAATAAACAAAGCAACGTCACTATAAAATAATTGTTTTGAATGTCTTGAATAAAGTTTAAATTACTGAAGGGAACGTCTATAAGGGTTACAGTCCTATTTAAAATGATAACCAATGTTGTAATGGATTGTAAAGTCTAAATTAAATTGGGAGATGTGGGCTCAAAACACACTCAAATAGTCTAATTAAACTAGATAAAGCTTTTACTTTCTAATGTGTGTTCCAAAGGATCCCAATCAATGGTGCTTGAACAGCTATTTGTGACTATTCCCACCATAACGCTAGTAAATGGGTTCAGATGTCTTGGCTGACATACTTGGAGAATCTCCCTTGTTCACAAACTGTGCTCTTTTAATGACAGTTCACGAGTGAACAAAAACAAAGCCAGAGCTGATGGCTCCTTCAGTTTAGCTACAAATGATACCCTTCTGTTAAATAAATCCAAGCTAATGGGTGTGATATTATTTGTAGATACAATTTGTTTATGCAAATGTTGGCTAATTTATTCAGGAAATACAATGAGCACGTAAATACTGCAGATTTGTTGTGGATCCCCCACATTAGCTCAGATTAGATATTAGATTATTGCTACACGATTAATTATCATGCATACTGTGTATAAAAATAATAAATGCCTAAAGTGAGAGACAATTTACAAGGCAATCAAACTGACAAGCTAATTGTAAAAAGTTACAAATATGTGTATTTATACTTTTTAATGTGATTTACAGTAGATAATTACATTAAGCAGGTTTAAATATACATTTAAAAAAAACATTAAGACAACAAAAGGGTTTATGTTCTCCAAATGAATGCCAAGGAGCTATTAGCAACAGTTAAACGTTTGAAAAACAAACTTACCAATCTGTTACCTTTTACTTAATTTAACATAAAAAGGTATAAATAAATGCTCAAACACTAAAAATAGTTTTTACTGTACATTCTGATCATACTGCAAAAAAAGCATTTCTGCAGATTTTTTTTCAAGTAAACTTTAAGACTTAAAGACTTTTTTTTACATCATCATGAATGAAATTTTAGAGTTCAGGAAACTAAACTAAAGATGATTTTTTAAAGAAGTTTTTGTTTTTTTGCTTGCCACAACAGCAACAAGTTTGAGTTGTTTCTTAGCCATATATTTAATGTGTCAAAACAAGAAAACTAGTTGTATATACTTAAAAAAATTAATAAAATTTATTTTAAAAAAGGACAAAGTTCATCATTGTTAAAAATGTATTTCTTATGGACATGATTTAAACCTTACATCTGTACATTTTTTCAATAAATGGAAGATCATGTAAAGGGAAATATTGCTCTGTTATTATCATGAGGAATTGTGTAACTGTTTTTTTAGGTTTCTTTCCCTGATTAGAAAATGTAATTTCGACAATTTGCTGCAAAAAAATATATAAATAAAATGATTGTCAAGATCTGTTTTGAATGTTCAAAGACCTACAACACAAAATTTCAGTGAATTTAACACTTTTTAAGGCCTAAAATTTTGCTTTTGAAATGTAAGACATTATAAGACCCCACTGACACGTACGTTTATATTGTACGTTTATACTGTTTTTCAGTGCAGATATCGAACAGTACAGATACACAAACTTTACTGGAATAATACAAATCTGGTAGTTACCTTTAATCCAGAGCTATGAAAACTGCTTTTTAATTATTAAAATCATCCATTAATGCTGTGAGTTTGAGGCAGGACAATAAAATACATCCAGAAAGATCAAAGTTTTGTATCTTTTTTTTACTCGTGTTGTATGACAATACATTATCATCAGGAAAACAAAAACAAAACCGTATAAAAGTATGGAATATGTTTCCTAACATGGCCTGACTAGGGACATAATACTATGGTTTTCCTAACCGTGGGGCATTGCAGGGCACAGGTGGGCACAATAAGGCTGGTATATAACGCACGAAGACAATATAGACCGCCAGACTCACATGAATCAGTTCTAGAAAATAATAGTCCTCAAAAAACTTACACTTTTTAGCTATTAATAGGAGTCAAAAGGCTTCATTTTATTTGTAGTTGTTGTTAAACATCAGAGGAGTCTGAACTAAGAAAGAGCACCAGGACATTGCGCATTGCTTTTAAAGGATACCTCGTAAGTGCAGTTTTAGTTTCCTTCCTTATAAACATTACATACACACATGGCTGTCATTGAGAATGATCTCCTTGAGTGTAGTTTTACCCTTGCAACAAGATATTTTAACCCGATGTTTATTAAAAAAAAAAAAAAAAAAAAGATGTGGGAGTAGGCCGTGTTCGAGAGCAGACGTCAGCATGTTTGTGTGTGTGTTGCTACAGGCCAATAGTGTAAGAGCGCCCGGCGGGGTTGTGAATGGCGGAGCATACAGGCTCGGTCACAGCCCATTCATACCAGACCTTCTTTCCATTGTTACACCTCCAAAAGCGTACACATACGTTATCGCCACAGGACAGCGGGATCGGCTGCTGCATGAGGAAAGAGAAAAAAAAAGGTGTTAGGATTACACTCTCGACATGACTGTTCACTTCAGCGCATTAACTGCGGAGCTGATAAACTGTCACGCTTTCACAGTGCTTAGCAGACACTGCTTTTAAAACCCAAAGTGCTAACTTGTATTTATGTCCATGACACACTTTTCTACTGTGGAGTTTTACAACAAAGTGCAAAAGGGAGAACAGTGCGGCGTTGATAATACAATGAGCAGGATGGAATTGTTAGACAAAAGCCAGGTATAAAGGGAAGCTGACTGCTAAGGAAGTGAACTACACTGTAAAGATTTTGCGTGTATACAAAGACAAGCCAATTAAATTAACTTTTCACATTTAAGTTGATTGAACATGAAACAATTGAGCTGTACCCCCCAAAAATTTAAGAATTGTGTTGTTTCAACTAATGTTAGGCCTGTACAATTAATAGTTTTAAACCAAAATCACAATTTGAAAAGGTGCAATTTTCGAATGTTTATCCACGTCACTCGTTGGTGAATAACGCCAGAGCTGCATTAATCGTTAAAGCACTTTCTGTTAAGAGCAGGAAACAATGACCGATCATAGGCATAGCAAAAACAACTTTATTGAAAAAATGGTTTTAAAACAACAGTAGCACAGTGTAGTGTACTTTGTGATTATGCTTGGTCTTTCTTTTGTGCTGTTAAAGCCACCACATTAAACCTGTAGCTCTTTTACAAAACTTTAAAATAATAGAATATAGAATAAATTGCATTTTAAAATCGCAAACTGCAATTGATCAGATAAAAATGGAAATTAGATTTTTTCTCCAAATCATGCAGCCCTAGTTTCAACTCATTTTAAATAAGTCATTTGAACAAGCAGCCATTTTTTGTGCATAGTGCACAATGAGAAATCATTCTAAAAAGGCAGGCTGATAAACAAAATGCATCCATGTTGGATAGGTTTTTTGTAACACCTTTTTTTAAACCAAAATATTACATTTCAAAATGTTACCTTATGTGCCACATGAGTTTTAGAAATCATCCTAATCCTGAAATGGTGCTAAAACATTTCTTAATGTTAAGGGTTTCACTTCATTATTCAAATATTATCTTTTTAATCAAATATTTACAACAATTAACCAGTTTTGTCGTAAAAATGGTAAGCATATTGAAAGAAACGGGTATTTGTACAGAACATAAAATCACTTTACAACACGGCACACAGTTAATGTACTTAAAAACATGAATGAACACTAAACAATACACTATAGTATTTATTTGTGCATGTTAACTTTAGTTAATAAAACTACAGTTTTTCATTGTTAGTTCATGTTAACTCATTAATGTTAACTAGCACAGATTTTTTTTTTATCAATGCATTATTGTTGAAATATGATTAATAAATGCTGTTCAAGCTAAGTAACTAACATTAACTACGTGTCCAGACAATAAACAATACATGTATTACAGTATTTGTTTATGTTAATTATTAGTAGGGACAGACAGAATCAGCAGATATTTTTATCTATTTCTGCAGATTATTTTGTAAAATACCTGTGGATTTATGTAGAATGATTTTAGGAGTATCATAAAAAAAAAATGAAATAAAAAATATCTTTTTAACTTTTATTTAATATTTACAATGCAAATTCAATTAGATCCACTTATTTGGTAAACAAATCAAGTCAGTCAAATAATAAATCTACTAAAAGACACAAATATTACTTTACAAACTATATTGTAAATAAATCAAATAAACACTTTCATATTAGTCAATATTATTACTGAAATTCATTTTAAAACAGAATTATTATAAATTTACACACATTTACACAAGTAGAAATCTGCAGAATTTTGTGTGCAGATTCCATGTGGCCTAGTTATTTGAGAAAATTGTTCGATGTTAGTTCATGTTAACTTACAGTGCATTAACTAATGTTAACAAGCATGCATTTGTATTTTATTAATGTATTAATACATATTAATTATGATTAATAAAAGCTAAGTATTACTCATTATTAGTTCATGTTAGTAAATACAAAAACTAATGAAACTCTAACAAAACTTTATTGTAAAGTGTTTAGGCTTGAAATTGATTACAAATGTTCTTTGTAGTTGTTTCTTTTATAGATATATATTTTATTCATTTTCTAAATACTGCTCAGTTTTCTGCTGAGTGAGAAGAACTAAAATGTATAATTATAATGTCTGTAAAAATTGTATTTTTGTCAACTAGTCATAATTATTTTTATACTATCACTACACATTCATACACTTGTGTTTTTTGTGGTTATTTTTGAAAACCACAATAATAAATTCCCTACTTTCTTGACTTACTTTCAAGGGGAATAGGATGGGGAACCAGGAGAACATCCCAGGAGAGTGTGTTTCAGGTTTTATACCTGCAATCATCAAGAAAGACTTATTTAATTGTTTAAAGTGTCACACACAGTAACAAGCGCACCAACAGCACTTCAGTTCAGTAAATCAGACTTAATAAAGATCATTTAAACACTTTATAGCTACAGTTAGATGCAGTCTGCAGATTAATCACCATTTGGATGTAAATGTAATTGCCATTCTCATGTAAATTAGATTTTAATAGCGATCAAGTTAATAAGGCAATAATTCTCAATTGCCCACTCTCAATAACCGTGCCAATTTGCAGCCATTATTACCGCAAATACCCAAAAATCTCTGTTTTGAGACATTGAATGAACAATGAAAGCCTTAGACATTGAAAGAGGCATTAAATTGGCATTGTGTGATGCAACACATGAGACTTACTGAGTGTGACTTCTTTATACAGCGTGGCCTCGAAGTACCCAGCGAAACCGTGAAGCACTGAATTACATCCAACGGGGAATCGCAGACATTGATACCGATTATTATTCATATCTGCAGAGTGTAAAAGACCAAGAGTTAATAGCTTCATTCAAAGAGATTATGGTGAAATCTGCGTGTCCGTCTCTTTGTGATCTAGTACCTGTGGTGGGGTGAACAAAGGTGAAGCAGGCCTGTGGGTCTGCAAGTTGGTGGAAATTGTGTAATCTGACAACATATGGTGTCTCAAAATGGCACTCTGGGTCTTTGTCTCGTTCCCGACAGCCTCGTACTTCATTATATAGTTTAGATGAGGACAGAGGAGCCAAGAAAGATGTGTAAGAGCAGGGAATGCTCACTCCATCATCTACGAGAAAACAAATGTTTATGAATCGACCCAGAGAGGTAAAACTCAAAGAAAATACTTAATAAAAGAAAGCTGATGTTATCTTAGACCTTTAAGAAAGTGCTGCGCTCCGTCGAGACATTCCGGTGAAAGCTCATTGTCCCCGAATGACCCTAAAAGCTCACTGACGATGATATCTGCTTTCTCTGGAGACGTCCACTCCCTCATGTCACATGACACAACAGTCACCTGATCACCCCACTCCTCAAACTTCCAGTTCTCCAGTCTGAGGAAGATAAAGGAGAAATACATAGCAAAGAAAGTTAAAACTTAAACTATTATTTCATAAATATTAAATAAATCTACTGTCATTTTAGAAATGACGACTGGATGAAAATAACAAATGCTTAGAATGGTGGCATCTTAGAATTGAGAAGCAGCATGACTGACAAAAATAACTGTTCGCGCAACAAATGAGAGGATCACGCGCACCGCGAGACACAGGCGATCCTCAATCAATGATGAGGGTATTCGTCTTTAGCTGATGTGATATGCGCGACTATTTAAATGTGCACACTCTCCTTGCGCGAAGCAACCATCCCTGGAAACGTAACTGGTGAGATTGGTTCTCTTTGAAATAGACTAGAAAAAAATTTAATGCTCAAGCACCCACAATCCTGCTACTTTCGAGAGCTTAACATTCTTTATAAGCAGCAGCTGTTGCAGCTTTCGCTTTAACTATTTTTTTGAACAGATTATTAATAGGCCTGAGGTTAAACATGTTTAACGTTAACGAGATAATGAAAAATATTTCGTGTAACGAGATAATGAAAAATAATGAAAAATAATCCTTTCATTATCGCACAAGGAACTGGGAACTTAAGCCGGACAGATTACTGCGCAATTTTAGATACATGAGAATAATTTTTTAAAATGTCAATTGTTTTTTAAACAAAAATTTTTGTTAAAAAAAGTATATGTATACAGCTATATTTTGCTTGTTTTGACACATTATTTAAAATTTGTGGCAAGGTAATAATTAGTTTGGTGTGGTCAGAAAAAAGGTGAATTCTGAGTGTTGAGCCCTGAAAAGTCATGTGAAATAAAACAAATTGCAATGTGACACTATGGAACCAAAGCCCATTTGCTCATGCTCATTGAGCAAACTCATACACAACACACAAAAAAGCATGCCAATTTTAGCATGCCAAAGTCATATTTATGCATATAAATTATATTTTCCAAACAACAAGATTGTGGCTGTTGAAAACGGCAAGTGGCTGGTAACATTGGAAAACTACTAGCCACAGTGGCTGGTGATCAATAAAAGTTAATGTCAAGACTTGATACTAAGGCTGCACAATATATTGTTTGAGCATCGATATAACAATGAGTGCATCCACAATAGTCATATTGCAGGATTAGAATATTTATTAAAAATTAAAAGACATAATTAAATCTTTTTATTTTTATATAATTTTTTACAATGACGAACATGTTAGTTTATATTTGATTGTTTAATTTCTGTACCTGAATACTGTAAGACTCTCCAGAAAACCATGAAGCGCTGAAATTTCACTTTTATCTTTGCTCTGTTGTATTTATATACGCTTTTAATTTATCATCATTTATGCAAACGCACAGCATAGAAACAATATCTTATCATCCCAATCTACCGATATAATACCGATATTGCAGCCTTCAGTACGAACCGTTACAAATCCAATATCAGCACATATCATTAATACTTTACTTTTACCCATTTCGTTGAGTGGAATGTATGAACGGCTGGATCAAACTGAGAACAAAAGTCATTTTATTTGCATAATATATTGCACAGATTCCACCCTACTGCCCACATGGCAAAAGTACTACAATGTGAATAGAGACAGAACTGCAAACTCATGTGCAAAGCTGACACTGTTTATCAAAGCACTTTCTCTTTCTAGGCTTTTTAAAGAAGAGGTAAACATGGGAATGCCTCTAATTAAATTTTCCTTCTGCCCAAAAAGTAATACCATTCTTTATTTTAAACTGTAATGGCCCTCAGCAACAGAATGATTTCTTATTCTTATTTAACAGATAATTAAACAACAAAGATGTTTAGCATTTAACACCTTTTACATGACACTGTTTCTATTCAGTGTGTTCAAGGAAAAAAATGAACTAAAAAATAAGAAATCCACTATTTCACTTCTATACATGCTGCTCCCTGCTCCCTCCCTCCCTCTCTAGTCTTGGTGCTGCTGAGAGATTGAGATGGACCGGCCAAAGTTTGCATACAAAGTAATGCAAAAACACAGCTATAGAAAACGAAAGCAGAATAAGGGACATGTTAGGCGATTTAGAAATCGGCCGCTGAGATAAAGTCTTAGGTGTGGGAAGCGCTGGTGATGAATTAGGTATCACACTGGATGCACAACGACATGTCATGACCGAATTGAGGCTCGCACTATGTGCGCTACGTCGCCATTCGGTGTCTTGCATTGTTTAGCAGCGTATACAAAACAATGTAAAGATTGCTTGACGTGAAGTAAATAAACCAGTAACTTTAGAATTGTGCCTTTGTTGATCGCGTCAGCGTGTGCTACTGTCACATCAGATTTCTATCGTAAAACACCATAACTTAGTGTGAAGAGTATGTTAAATCTTAAAGAGACTTTGCTAGCAAGCAGAGTTTAGAGCGAATCAGACTGCTTACATCTGAGATTTTTAACGCAGTCCAATATAGTTCAATTGGACTGATATCGGACCTATTTCCGATATCAATATCGGATCGGGACATTCTTGAAAATGAGTAAGGAATTTTAAAAGATTTCATCCTAAAGTTACTTACGTGACTACAGCATTAGGGTTTTTCTCAACAGCGTATACGCGCAGCTTCCTCTTAGCTTGTTTTGCTGCACGAAGTGAGGCATTTACCAGAGGACCTCGACCTGCACCAAGTACCATCAAAACCCTGAAAATAATGGTAAAAAACAAACTTAGTGTTGACACTGTCTGCCATGCAAGCAGCCTATCTGCCTAGTTCATTAATATCTGACAATGAGACACCTGGAAGAGTGTGAAGTCACTTACTGCACATTGGTTTCCATCTGTTCTTCAGGAACTCTGTCTAGCAGACATCTATATACGGCCTGACAGGAAAGACAATTCACTGCAATTAATGAAAATAACATAATGGATACAACAGAATATGCTAATTTTCTCAAGTGATGCCTTTTTTTTTGCTTAAATGAGATGTAATGTGACACTACAATTCATTCACAAGTTTTAGTTAAGCCTGTTTTTTATGTCTCTAAAAGAAACCTCATTCTCACAATGGCTGCATTTATTTAATAATAAAAAAACAACAACACTAGATGTTAAATCAAAATTACTTTAATTTGATAGGTTGTTGAAGACTTTTTATAAGATGACAGTTTTTGTTAGATCAATGGGATATTTGCCTTAGTTAACAGGCATGGCCTGGTGACTGCCAGTTGACAGGTAGGAAAAGAACATGACAATTTAGCAAAAGGTATAAAACTGTGTAATAAAAAAACATACTGTATAGAAAAACTACATTTTGATGAATCCAACCTAAAATTTTAATTGACAAACAAAAGTCCCTGATATTCAATGACCTTTTAAAATTCCATGATATTAAATCATTCTGAAAATTTTTCCAACCAATATAATATACCACAATGCAATTTTTTAAAATACTTTCAGCTGCGTCATTTCATTAAATCTTTGTCCAATAAGGGTGAACTGAGATTTGAACTTGCAGTCATAAAGCAAATTGTAACGAATAGTTTTTAAAAGTAAAAGTTTTTAAAAGACTAATATCCAAAATATACAAAGCTCTGTCTAGCTCATGTACTTCTCCCTTTCAGAGTATGAAGGGTGTAGGGGGAAAAAATTTAGGTCACAAAATTGAAGATACAGATTGGTCTGAAATAATATGTAACAATTTGTTTTCTAAATGTACTTTATAGAGTGTTCATGAACTCAACTATAAATTCATTAACAGAGTTTATCTTACACCCTTTAATTTGAAAAGGACTTACAGAAAGTCTTCTGATATTTGTTTTAACTGTAATAAATGCAAAGGAACATTCCTTCACTGTTTCTGGTATTGTGGCAAAATCATTTATTTTTGTAGGAAAATACATCATTTTCTACAAGGACTCGCTAAGATAAAATTTAGTTTTTCTCTGGAATTTTAATTGTCATATGGTGGAGTAGAGAATGTGTTGGACTCCCACACCAAACACTTGTTTTTAATATTAATAGTGTATTGTGGTCATCTCCTCAGGTAGACTCCTTTAAAATGTGGCTGTCTCAAGTATGTACGCCATTTCAACTCAAGAAACTCACCTATGACATACATCTAAAGTCAGATGACTTTTAGCTGCTATGGACCCCTTTTTAGCATTACATTTATAATTTCTCCTGATTTTATATTCTATGGTGTAGATTTTAGCTCCTTGGCTGACTGTATTATCCTGTTTACTAGTTCGTATATTTTCCATTTTTCCTACTCTATAGCCGAGACTGTATTTGTATGTGCTGATGTATTAAAATAACCAACAATTAATAATTAAAAATTCCATGATATTTGAGAAACCATGACCCATAGGAACCCCATCATTTAGATATTAGACACTGAACACAATACAACTGCTACACATGGTTCAGTATGCATGATATATAAAACTGCATCAGTTGACAAAATTTCTACTTAAAACCACAGCTATACAACACTGCAATTCGTGCTATACAGCCAATTCTATTTTTAAGTTGGATTATGTGATTTTGTACAAGTTTTCTAACTAATTATTAATTTATCTGCTTAATCAAAAGCACAATGAAAACAATTGTTTGAGTGTTTCTTTCCATTAGGAAGTCCTTTGAACTCACCTGCTGGTACTGAGAATATTTGATAGGATCCTTCTCGAACACTTCATACGTCTGTGACTCCAAATTGTCCATTAAAGGCTGATAAAACAATAAGAAATCCCATTAGTACAAGTGCAACTGAATCAATATTGTGAAAAATGAACAGATGCTTGTATCCTGACAGACAGCCAGACCTGCAGTGGTGACTGTAGGTAATCTTCATAGCCTTTGGCGAAGAGCTCGTAGGCATTAGGTGCTGGACGGTTTTGATTGAGGTACTCTAGATACTGCAGATATGAGCGCAAGTCCTTCTCGCTGTGGCGGTTCTGCCCTGTGAAAATGAACTGAGCCTCCAGCTGTAGAGACACCAGACTGTTAGATAGGCATGGTGAACAGAAGAAAAGTGACATGATACTGGAAACCTTTACCTTGAAGAGACGGAAGATGATTCGCTGGTGGGCTTTTGAAAGGACTGGAAAGCCTTTTTTATTGGTTAGAAATATGCTGGTAGGGAGAATGGCTGCTTTGATTGGCTCTCCAAGCCACTTGTCGATTAATGTGTCAGATGGCAGGTCTGCTCCAATCTCAATTGCTGTGCAGAGAAGTAAATAAAACAGTTCATATTCACTGCTTAACAGGTGAATATTGTGAAGTATATTAACTAATAGCTGTCACCATATTACCCTAGTAGATTTATTACATTAAGAGTTAAAGGTGCAGTAGGTGATTGTCTTCAGAAACATTTTTTGTTGAGCTGGTTGAAAATAGTAATGATTAAAGTAAATGATCTAAATGTATTTATTTGTATTTTTATATTCTGGGTAAGGCATAAAACTAAAACATATTCGTCCAATTAAAAATTGTAGAGCCGATAATTCCCATAATTCTGATATGTAGCCCAAACTGTGTAAATAAATGTAGATTTGCACAACTGCGCACTCGTTTACACAGTTTGCCATTTGCGCAAACATGTGGACAAAGGCGACAGCTGTAAAAACAAATCCTGAATCGATATTGGAGTTACTTTTGCACGCTGGAGAAAGGGTGACACCATGGTTGAAGTGTTTCTTTTAGACAGGTAATGTTACGTTTTAAAACAATTTCAGTCACGCAAAGTGACTTAGTGTTTTATGAATGGGTTACATGGACAGAAGTGTTGGTCAGCCACTGAAATCTTTCGGCGAAAGATTGATGTGACAATTTTCAATTTCATAAGGGAGCTTTTATAACATCGATAATGTAGATTTTTATTTAGTTTAACAACAAAACAGTAAATAGCACTATTCCAACTAGTCTGCTTTACTGAGGTGAAGTTGGTTTTATATTCACATTGGTTAATTTTTGAATAATGACAGCCTGTGATGCGCTCTCTATATTGTTTACCATGCTACTCTAAATATTTGGTCTGAAAAAGCATGCAAGTAGGGCTTAGTAATAAGTGTAATTCCAGCATCCCGCCGGCCAAGCTTTAAGCATACAGTAGTTGCTTTAGGACAAAGCGCATGAGAGAGTCCAGTGATGCTTGCATGAACAAAATAACTTTTGCTTGCTACAAAACTGAAAGCGTGCCAGATAGAATAAATTTTTTTCGTTGGGAATTGTGGTGTTATAAAGTACTGTAAAGTTTTCTAACTGGGGAATGACATGATCTAGTGGGTCTCAGTCATCTTTATTGTGCGCGTTCGTGTGATTTTAGGAGGTAATACCAATGAAAAAAAATATATAACTACAAAACAAAAACAAACAAAAATCACTAAATAATACACTAAATAATGCACTAAATAATACATCAGATAAAAAAAAAAAAAAAATATATATATATATATATATATATATATACATATGCTTATACATATATATATATATATATATATATATACACATATATATACACACACACACACATTTGGGGATTAAAAAATACTTAATTTAAAGTCTCTGCAGATTGTTGTCTGATAAAATTAGAAATAAAGTGTTCCACGAGTACGTTTAACAGTTTGGTTTCTGTTGCAATATTGACATATTTTTAGGGTCCTCTTCTTTGAGTAAATGTTCACGAGTCTCATGTGTCTGTTACAACATCTTGTGTAAGCAATCTCATCATGTCCTGAGTTTACAAAATAGTGAGACTTTCTAAGGATTACAAAAAGTTATGTTTTTGTGCACTGACCCCAATTGCCTGCCATTTGTGGCTTTAAGTCAGAAGGTCAGATTTTGCACTCATTTATTTTTCCTGTTAGGTCTGTTTTGGCTTTTTGTAGAAATTTTTTTTTTAATTACAATCTGACAAACTATGTTTGAACAAATCCCTCTGTAAGAATCCACAACCACCACAAAAACAGCTCAGCATTACATCTGAACAATTACCTCCACCAAAATTCACAATTCAGAGTATTAGGCAGTACTTTTCTGACAACTCCTTACTCGAGTCATTTAATCTTGAGCTCTCACACACAACAAACCGCTTGTTACAAGCGGATCCCATGCATGATGAAATTCTGACAGAGAAGCCCTCATTTGTGCAGGTACGGAGCAGAGTTGCCTCTCCTCTCTGAGCTGGCCAGCAGCAGAAGTAAAAGTGCGCTGACCTGCTTACATACACAGATTGTTTCCATGTGCCCACACTGACTTCTCTGCTTCTTGTTAGTGATACTCATTTTGAGTCTCTCACAGCTGCACGTTAATCGATGGTAAGAATTCTACAGATTAATCCTAACAGGATTCAAATCTAATTTACGTTCACTCAAAACTGACAATTAAATCACTACTTTTTCAATTTCAAGAGGATCCAAACCTTTTAGTTTCTTTTTTCTGTTGAACACAAAAAGAACTAAAAACCAGTACCCACTGACATATTTTGGTAGTCAATGGTTACCGATTTCTAGCTTTTTTCAAAATACTTTGTTTTGCGTTCAACAGTAAAAAGAAACTCAAACAGGTTTGAAATAAGTGCAGAATGAGTAAATAATGACAGAACTGTCAGATTTGGGTGAACTATCCCTTTTATTACTTTTCTGTCAAGCTATTTTTAAAATGTTTGCTGCACGAGTAAAAAAAAAAAACTTTGGTAGACAAATCAAAATTGTGGTTGGAGAAAGAGAATATTGTTGAAGTTGTTAGGAAATGCTTTACCAGAACAAGATTAAACAAAATCAGAGAATAAGTTAAATAAAATATAAATAAAATATAAATAAATAAAAGTAAATTCTGGTTTGAACATTGTCAATTATAAATCTTTGAAAGAAAATCAGTATCTGCAAAAATCTGAATCAGCAGTTCACACTTCACAATTTTTTTTAAACATCAAAATCGGCCAAGAAAATAGCAATCGGTGCATGTCTACTTTATGAAAAGCCAAAAATAACAGGTGCATGAAAAAACGTTTTGTGTTGTGTGCAGTTTATTTTTTTTGCTCTTACCGAGGCAAATCCTCTTGTTGTAGTCACAGAGTGTTCTGAATGAGTGCCACCTGAAGAGAGAAAAAAAGGAAATTAAAGCACAAAGGCCAAAGATTGCTTTGTTCTTCATGCAGATGACTGATTTAATCTCACAGCATTCTAAAATGTGGACTAATAGAAGAAAAACGCAGATATTCACACTCGAGTGGTTGTTTTAATGAGATAACTTGTTTAATATCTATAATTAATTGAACAAATGGGTTCGTTTCAGCTTTCTCACCATGCCCAGGTCTTCTCATCATTGCTGCCATCGTCCATTTGTTTAGACGGCTCATTCTCAATAAGATCTTCACGCGTATCCTCAGGAGCCATCAGTGGAACTCGTATCCAAAACTGTGTAATTAAAAACAAATCAACATTGAACTAATTTATTCCTAATCAACTAAGAAAGCAGTATTACAACCAATAAATGAGCACCCAACTGAGAAAAACCCAATGGATTTGTTTCTGCCTGCACAATGATGCATTTCGGTTGGCTTCGCATTTTAATTGAGTTGATAATGTGTCCTTATTGAAAAAAACGCTGTGTTGCTGCATTTTGGTCAATGGTTGTAATAACATTGTAAATTAGACAATAGGAAATAAAAGATGTATGTCACATTTTAATTCATTAGATTTAGAGTATAATGATTAAATCATAAACATCTAGCATAGTCAAATACAAAAAAATGATATGCAGAATTAAATTGCATATTAATTTTGCTAAGTGTTCCCAAATTAAGCCAAAGCATCCCATTACTGTGTAAATCACAGAACATATTAATTTGATGATTTAGTGCACAGGAATATTTTCTTTTACCATCTAAGCTGAATTAATATTTAGGGGACTATGAGTAAAGTGCAAAACATAAATGACATCGTAGAATCCATAATAGACACATTTAACTGTATAAGATTGATTGTCATGGATCTTCGGTACATTTTGGACTAATAAATCCAAAATAGGACAGTACACAATAAATCAAGTTTGGTGTAGTTGACGTGCAGCGAGGGGTTTACGTCTTTAATAAACTACGACGGTTTGCATTCTTTTAAAATTAAGAATGATTAATAAATCTATATGAAACAGTCCCCTAAAAGTGACGTTGCGTTTTCAGTTTCGGGCTTAGGCGTGCTTTGCACTCACACAAGAAGCCTAACGCGCCAAAGCCCAACTGAACTGTGCCTGAGCCTGATTCAGAGCACCCACATTTTTCAAACAAATCGGGAAACGTGCCTGGGCACAGTTCGGATAGCATAGTGTGATTGTGCCCTTACTTAAGACCGAATATTCAAAGTAGCATGGTTAAAAAATATACGGAGCACGTCACAGGGTGTCATTGTTTAAAAATGAACCAATGTGAATATAAAACTTCACCTCAGTAAATCAGGCTAGGCAGAATAGCGCCATTTACTGATGTTTTGTTGTTAAACTAAATAAAGATCTACATTATCGATGCTATAAAAGGTAACTTATGAAACTGAAAATAGTCACATCTTCATCTTTCGCTGGAAATTTCAGGGGTTGAACAACACTTGTGCATATAACCCATTCATAAATCACTAAAAGTTACTTTAGAAATAATTTAGCCATGGTGTCTGTCTTCCTCTAGCATGCAAAAATATCTCCAATATTGAATATTAATTGGACGAACATTTTTTAGTCTTATGCCTTACCTAGAATATAAAAATACATTTAGATTATTTACTTTAATCTAAAGTTCCAACTTTCCTATTGGAATGTAAAGAAAATGAAAGAAACCAGCACAACAACAAACATTCTAAAGACAATCACCTACTGCACCTTTATTAAAAAAATTTCACTGTCACTTTTCTAAACACAATAATTTTAAAAATAAATAAATTCAATAGCCACATGCTTGGGAAAACTAAAATCTCTAGCTCAATAAGCACTGCACATTCATGACAGGCATTTAAAATGGCAGGCAGCTGATAATAATTATTAATAATCACAATAATGCCAGCCAATTCAATATTACAAATGCATCTGATCAATTGACCTTTATGGATAATGCACCAAACACTATTACAAATAACAGATGGACAGCAAGCAAAAAAATGATAAACAGTCTTTTCACGCCCCAAATTAATTCCCATCAGTGGGGGGAAAAACGCAAAAGTCAGCAGCCAAAATGAAGATTGTGTGTAAATGATAGGCCCTGGGTGTATACATAAACAAATAATGGTTCGCTTTGAGCATATTTGTTTTCAGCCTATACTACAGATTGCCATTACCATGCAAGAGTGGTGTCCTGTGTGGATGTGGTTGAGCAGGATTCGAGCCAGGTTGGCACAGTGTGGACCCCTTAGGGGGATCATGAAAGCTGGCAGCCCCAGATAAGCACAGAAATTGAGCTCCTGTACCAGTGCCTGCAGCAAGGGCACAAAAGACATTAGAAGGAGTGATCACATCAAAATAAACAACAAATCTGCTCCTCTTTGTTGGGCAAATCTCCAATAAATGGTCCTCGTTTGCATCTGATTCTTGATTACAGTCACAATGACACCTTGGTGTGTTTAACGAAGGCCTTATCAAAAACCCAACTGTGAACGTATTGTATGCATGAATCATTTGTAATACAACACTGCAGTGGAAATCAAAGTTAGAGAACGGTTTATGAACAAGTGATTGTTTTTATATTCATTTCAAAAATAATGAAAATCAATCAAAATTTCAACTAATTTTAGCTGTGGCAATAACAAGCTAGTAGAACAGTTTTTTTACAAGATAATTTGTAGCACACACAGTGATCAGAATAGAACAACAGCAATGACTGTATCTTAAAGACAGATTACAATTTCTGAAATCAGTATAAAGTGTACAAAATCTTGCTTTGAATTACTAGTCTCTCTCTGGCATCACTACTCTTCCACAGTTCAGTGACTGTAGGGGTTTTTTATCCATGACTTTAGCGCTAAGTATTTTTCAGAGATTCTTTATCAGGTTTAGACAGGACTATGAGCTGCCATTTCCTTAATTTAATGTTTTCAGCTTCAAGAAACTGCTTAGGGCTGGACGATTAATCGAAATCGACATTCAGAACCTATAATCAATCTAGTTTTTCTAGGTTGATTTTTTTAGATTACTTTCCATACCACGTGTGGAATCACGTTAGCTCGCTCTGTGTATACTTCTGCGTCAAGCACACACATATGGTTCAGCGCACCCTTTGCTGTGGCTGACACTAGGGGTGTCAAAATTAATTGTTTTATCGATGCACCGTAATGCAGACCCAAACAATTTGGTATTGGTTCAGTAATAATCATAACCAACTATTATGTACTGACGTCATTCACATAAGCATTATATAGCGGTAGCTTACTATGGCGAGGGAGATTGATTAAAATGTAATTCTGTGACTAAAATGTAATTAAAATGGTCCAGCTACTTAAAAAGCAGATAATTGTGTACAATTCACTGCTTCAGTCTTTCACTGACAGGGAAGAACATTGGAACCCAGCTAGAAAAAATAAAAGCTGAAACTCTCTCTCTCTCTGTGGCCACTCTCACCAGCTGGCGTGTTAGTGAGGTAACGTTTTACCATCTCTCTCGGCTGTTACAACAATAAAGTTACTTGTGGATCTCTGATTGGTCGGCTTGATAGCAAAAAAGAGTGTGGGTGGGGGGAGAGCAGCGAGCCCATAGGAGCGAGTGTTTACAAGTGTGGAGTCCTGGGGAGAAGCTACAAATTGGAAACTTTTGTTTTGTATTTACTTTGATTGTCTGATGATTTGGCTGAGGCTGATTTATATCTCTGGTCAAGTAGGACGATGTACCCATTTTTGAGCATTACTTTGCACTACACTGACGATGATTAAAAGTTGCACCAGACATGCCTTCAGATGGCATATTATCCATTACACTAAAATTATTGTTAACATTAAAATATTTGTTTACATAAGATTTTTTTATTTTAGGCCAAATCGCCCATCCCTAGAACTGCTTTGCCTAGAACCAGTTTCTCATAAAAATTGCTGGTAGATTGACTCATAAACCACTTTTGATAAACATATCTGAAAGCGTTCACCAAGTTTATTTAGTGTTTGTTGTCAAACTCATCTAAATAAACTTATTTAATAAACAAATTACTGCATTTCAGAATACACCAAAAAGTACTTTTATTCTTTAATCTGCTCTTTTGCTCATGTTAAAATAACTTCAAGTGGTGACGTTGAAATTTGGCAACTTGTAGGTTCTCTACTTCTGATTCCCACTGTAGGTTGCAATAAATTAATAACATGTGCTTAATGTTCAAGATTAGATGAATAATGCATTTATACATACATATGCAATAACAAATCAAGAACCCAAAAAAACTGTGAACATACAGCTTCTGAATTCCTGCGCTCTGTGGTCAACTCGGAGTCAGTCTCAATCCAGGGTGACAGCTTTCCCACGATAAGAGTGTTCCAATCTAATGAAGAATAAATGAACATTATATTATTACACAGATATAATCACAATGTCTAAGTGTGTGTAATTCTGTAAATGCAATTATAGGCAATCATGGAAAAAGAAATGAAGAACAAGTCAGTTATCCAATGTATCCAAAAGAAACTTAATGAGGAAGTGACATTAAAGGGGTCTTATCATAAGATCTTTAATCATTTATTTAGACCTCTAAGGATTGCTTAAAAGGTTTTAGAGGCAAAAATAGTCTTGATTTGGGTTTCATAAGCATTCTCCAGCTTCCTTCTGACCCTTAAAATTTAATAGATCTTTTTTATATCTCTCTTTTGAACTTTAAATATGACTTTACCTTTAATCCTTCTGGGCTCAGGATGAATAATATCCTTGCATTTTGCATTTCAAATTAACTTGCCATCACAGTGTGGGGTACTGAATAGTTTTTAGTGATGTGTAAAGCAACAGTCTTAGACCTATGTTAGTATACACAATTACACGTATGTTAATATACACATACAGAATAAAAAAATACAAACAAAAAAACACAACATTCATTTAGAGCATGCACAAATACATACTTCGACACATGCAATAGAAAGATTCATCCTTCTCCAGCGTCTGCACCTTTTCTCTTCAAAAGTAATGAAAAACATCTTTCTACTTATTTAAATACAGCCTTCGATAGTTTGTTGTTCTAGTTACTTTTGTTTACACAGTTGGTGCATTCCAAACGGGATATACAACCCACAATCATGGCCACCACATTAAAGTGTACTTCCAAAATGAAGAGCTCAAAACTGGCCACTTTGAAGGGGCCTTCAGATTGAAGGATTTTAAATGCTACAACTGATGGACACTGATGCCCGCACAGGGAAGTTGTTTGGTGTTGAACAGCACATTTCATTCAGAAAGGATCATCTCTATGCTCTAATCCCTTCGAAGCTGTCACTCCGTGGGGTAAAGCCTATAGGCATAGGTATAGTAAAGGCTCATCCAATGAAGGCATACGGTTAAGCCTATGCCGAGTTTGGAACACGCATGTTTGTAAGAATGGCTCATTTCAGTATTGACTCCTTGTGGACAAACTAATCTGTGCAAAAACAATTAAAAGCTTAAAGTCATGAAAATTGGCCAGTTAGCATACAGTATTAGCATACTCTTCTAATGGCAAAATTCAAGTTGTGTACAGTCTACAATTAGGCTGCACAATATATTGTTAAGTTATAATTTTCTCGATAACAGTATATACATTTGCGCATCACAGACATGTACGATTAATTACTTTTATGCATTGGTTGTTTATCTAAATATAGGGCTTGAAATTAACATCTTTACTTGGTAGCACTGGTGCACTTACTAAAAATGTGGTCACACCAGCCAAAATGTAGTCTCATCCACCAAGAATTATGTGCAGCATTACTACAAGTTTCATATTAACAAATTTGCATTTGAAATTATCCTTACGATCAAATGAAGGATTAAATAGAACACTTAAAATGTGTAGATTCAGTGGCAAACACTATGACTTGTTATAGTTATCCACTCTTCATGTGTATCATTAATCAGCTGTGTCATTATTTGTAACTTTAGGTGGTTTCTAAACAAAATCTGTCAATATACTTTTTATTCTTTCATCTTCAGCGTTTTACATATTCGCGACTGTATCTCTCCGTCACCCGAAAGCAGAGAGCATTGACTGAATGATTGACAGCTGATATTAACCAATCCATTCACATTCATTTCTAGAGCTTGAAGAAATGAAGGGCAAGCTATGCGGGGTTTGTTTACTGTAGAAAGTTGACATGACGACTGTTTTAAATTTATACTACTAGGCAAGGGACGATAACAGTTTGCAAGGTATACCGGGGTTTAGAACAGTCAAGGTTTTAAAACCGTCAAAATATTTTTATACCGTTTCAATGATGTAAATAAGACTTAACGTTTTACGTTTTGTATCTACAGCAGAAAAGATATCCAAAGATGCCATTTCAAATAGTAAAGAAATCAGTGTTTTTGAAACCAATGAAGAGAGCAGATGTCAATAATTCATTTGAATTATATAGCCTGACATGTTTACTGCTTTTAGTTTTTACCCAGACATTTAAAAATAACTTATTTTAGAGCAGTAATCACAGCACCGTCAAACCGTGATATTTTTATCCAAGGTTATCATACCGTCAGAATCTTATACCGGCCCATGCCTACATGTGGACGCATAGCCCTCGCCATGGCCGTCGACGATGCTGCTGTGCACCTTTTAAAAAAATTTAACCACACGTCCCAACGACACGTAGCGCAAGTTCTGTAACTGGTCGGCTTGGTAGTGCTGAAGAGTGAGAGCAGAGGTGAGAGCCACGCAAGCCTGTTGAAGCGAGTGTTTACAAGTGTGGAGTACCATGAAGGTTGTCATGTGTTTAGGGTCAAGGCTGTTTGTGTTTACCTTATTATTAAAGTTGTTACATGTCCGCTGATTCCAGCCTTAAAATGAGCGAGTTTGGCTATTCATGAGTATACGGGCAGCCGCATTTTAGACCATTTGAAGTCTAGAAATAGAAAGTGAGGGTAGACCAATATATAAAGAATAAAAATAATCTAATTGCTTGGAAATGCAGGCATGGATACCCGTTTCCTAAAATATCTGCTTTGGGTTTTACTCGCAGTGTTTTAAAGGCTAAAACAGGCTCTGCACCTTGACATGTTTTTTTTTCCTGAATTAAAATTTATTACATCTTAATAAACTATTTACCTGGTTATTTTAATATCACTAAACAAACAAATGATTACAAACATAACCAATATAAATGGCATTTTTAAGGTAAATGTTATATCGTAAGAAATATTGTTATCGCAAAACAACATCCCATATTGCATATTTCCCCAGAATAGTCCAGCCCTAGCATTCAGTACCTTGTGTATAAGCTAAAACTTGAAATTGATACTTTAACTTTGACATTTGTTTTAAAATCTGATGTTTTGCAGCTTAGGTTTTAAAAAGTACAGTATGGTTTTATAGTATATCACTTTAAATTTATACTATAGAACCACTTCAAGAGCCTTAAAAACCTTATGAAAAAAAGATTTTTTCGCAACTGACTCCATTTTAAGTGTGAATATTCAGATGCAGAAAAGAGTTTGTATAAAATCTCACCTCTACCACACAGCAGCAGGTCAGATCGTGTTTGGGCTCCAGGACGTGACTTTGCAGGGTCCAGTTCATTTTCCCTTCGAAACCGCGGGTGGAACAGCGGCATACACAGGAAATCAAAGCTGTAGGACAGAATTACATGCATTAACACAAGCAGGCTAGATATTGAGTATATTCACTTTTATTATAGTAAATCAGCTAAAAATTTCTAATTTCATCAAACAGGACAGGTCTTGGAATTTTGGTCTTGGAATTTATGTATGTATGTCCCTTCAATTTATAATCATTTCATAGTTTTTTTAACCTAAAAACATCCTGCTTAGTTTAATTACAAGACAGAAAGCTCAAATTACTTGTTTATAATACAGTGATTTTAAATGTATTCAGCTGTCAAGTGATCAGCCATTAAAAGCTACTCAATCCCATCAGAAAATGGGGTCAAACCTATTAAGATGTTGCTGCTAGCATCTCCAACGACCCTCAGCATTAAAAAGCAACCAGTAATGTTTCTAACACGATTATTGTGCTAAAATGTATATTTCATGTACAATAGGAATGAATGAGTTCATTCAAAATCTATTAAATATAATTAGACGGCGCCAAAATATTTTTTAAAAACCTTTCTAGAGTTGTTGCAAAGGCTTCAAAACAAAGCCATGTTAAATTTTCCAAAACTGCTACACACCCATGTTCATTACAAGTAGATCTGAAAAAGCCGCTATTAGCTAGCAAAGCTCATGTGCATCACGTGCGGCGACCTAGCCGGGCCAACTTCAAACTGAACACACTTGACTTCATTTAAGAATAACACCGAAATATCATTCAGTTGCTGCGCATACAGCTCGCTTTGCTTACCCTAATTTGGCGACCGCAGCGAGGGTATCCGCCACTTCAGGAACACAACTCAAATCTCTCCCGCAGGAGACCCTGCTACCTGCACTGCCGGACGCCATCGTTAGGAGACGAGATGGGAGGGAAAACTAAACAGAAACAGAACTATGGAGAAACTGAAGTCATGTTGGCTCAATTCAAGAGCGCAGGAACTCTAGGAGACAAGCGGGTGAGGATCCAAAATGGCGTTTGCTCGTGAGGCAGTTTCTGTTTCTGTTGAGTCTCTCGCGAGATTTCACAACGAGGTCAGACTGTGGGGCCGGCAGGGCAGACGTGATGCTGCAGACTAGAAAGAGAATCCACGCGCTCTCTGAGACGAACTTTAATTTGTTCCAGTAATTTTAGGGGAACGTTTAATTAGTTTTAAAGGATTGCGTCGTTTATGTAATAATCAGCTTGTTTTTATACTACAGGATTAATTATTATAAACTCAGCAGCGATAACCACGTCAACGAGTTATTTTAATTAAACTGTGCACTGCATATTTCCAGATTAAACCCGTGGCAAATGGATTTGCGCTGGATTTTTTACAAAGAAAAGAATATCTGTGGGCTTTACTATTGCCTGAAGTGGAATAGCACTCCTAAACAGCCTGAACCAGTTCCTTCCCTTGGATCTTTTCACCCAATATCATTTATTCATTTTCTTTTCAGTTTAGTCCCTTTATTAATCCAGGGTCACCACAGCGGAATGAATCGCCAACTTATCAAGCACGCGGATGCCCTTCTAGCTGCAACAACTCATCTCTGGGAAACATTCACACACACTCATTTTCACACATACAATACGGACAATTTAGCCTCCACAATTCACCTGTACCGCATGTCTTTGGACTGTGGGGGAAACAGGAGCACCCGGAGGAAATCCACGCGAATGAAGGGAGAACATGCAAACTCCACACAGAAACGCCAACTGACACAGCTGAGGCTCGAACCAGCGACCTTGCTGTGAGGCGACAGCACCACATATTGCGCCACTGCGTCACCCCCTATGTTAGTTATGTATGATAGCTCTTGCGTTCAATGTTGTGTTAATATTTATAAATATGTTGATTCATGTAGCATGGTGGTCCTGCGAGACATAGCAGGACTTTTACTGTACATGTGTAGCGGAATGACAATAAAGCTCAACTTGACTAGTGTTGTACATGACACTTTTTCAATTTCCTCATACATTTTTTATATACTTTTAACCTTTTTTTCTCTTTCAGACAAAAACTTATAATGCCATTTTTTAGCAGTCGCATCTGTTTTGGAACAAATTTTATTCTTATGGATAAATCCCTTGAGATGTGACGTCTCATTTCCAAGGGGGTCCCAAATAAAGTATTGAGTGTTTTATCCCAGATAGCAGGCAGTAATCGGCCCGAGCTCGGCTGCCCTCCGGCGCCTCCGGCTCCGACTCGGCATCGGCGAGTGTTATCCGGGCCGAGTGCGGGCCGCAGCTCGCTCGCGCACATGCGGTTGTGATGCGGCTGTAAAGCACTGGCCCGATTCCGGTCAACCATATCCGGCCCGAGTCTGTCTGTAGAGTCCGGGCCGCTTCTGGCAAGGACTCGGCTGATGGCAACTGATTAAGTTCTTATTTTATCTAGTAATCTGTTAGCTCCACGTTTAATGATAATTTGAGAAAATATTCATGGTACGATAGCAAAAAAAAAAAAAAAAAAGAATATTTAGCGTGGATGGTCGCAATGTTTAGACGCAAACAAAACAATATTATTTATAAATAGATTATACATGTCATCTAGAGAAAAACTATGTAAAATTTGCTCATTTTTGAGATAGCACGCTCCTGTGCTGACTGTTTTTTTTTTAAAGCAGAAGTTGGTTTCATAATAAACACATGCGTTACTAAATTCCTGATCCAAACTCCAATCCAGACGGTGGCGGTAATGCTCCAAAAAGCTGGTTGTCAACCACCATGGCACGAAGATCACAAGAAGAAAAAGTTTGGTTTTTCAAAGACTCACGTGGATTCCGGTCAGAAAGGTAAGCTTTTTACTGTTTGTGTACTGTATAATTAGCGAATTTAGAGCTTAAAACATTTCCACGGTGTTTGGTTGTAACAGCGTTTAGTACTTTAAAACAGTTTGATACGAAATGTAACTTGCTTTAAGAAACACGACTGGAGCTAATGTATGCTAACGTTAACAGTTACAAACACGTCTGAAAGTTCCTTTTCCTTTTACACAATGTTAGATTGTAACGTGTGTAGTACCTGAAAACTATTTTAATTATTTTAAAGAAACATGAAACGAATTTGTGTGTATGCTAACTTTGCGTTAAAGAAAGTTTCTGTAGACGAATCCATTAACTAACTTGGCAAAACGTGTTTTTTCCTGATTTAACATTATAAAGTACCGTGGATGTTGAAAAAATCATTGTACAGGCGTATACTTATCCAACAGTATTAATTCTGTGATTATGTGTAAATAAAAACTAATCGTTTTGGATTAATAAAATATTGTTTATCTTGTTTATGCAGTTAGTCACGAAAAATGATCGAAACTCGACTGTTTACTATTCTCTTTAAATTATCCAAGAGAAATATATTACTATGCACTTTAATTCATATTTTTTAGCCTATGTGAATCAATTATATCTTTTGTTCAAGCTGTAATGGTCAGTTAATGTAAAACTGAACGTCTTAAAGCAGATTTTGATGTTTTTTTATGTTATTGACAGTGATAAATTCTGATTTAAATGAATGGGTAACAATATTTGTTGGTTAAGTCTTATTGTTCTTGTTTAACAAAGGTTAGTGAGATCATTTTGCAGCACATCACGACCAAAGAAGTCAATGGCACACTCTTTTGAACGTGAATAGGCATGTTATAGTTGTGTGCTAAAAGTCCATTATAAGCTGTAAACTGCTGATATATTTTCAACATAGATTGAGCTTTTCAGACATTACATTACTAATTGCTTCACAAACAGCTGAAATGGTTTATTGTTATTGGCTATCATCAAACATTTTTCACAATGGTAGGTTAATCTTCATGGGTACAGAATAATGCATGTGCTTGACAATCTTACAAATCTATGTCTCAGATTCATAAGGCTGTCACTCTGCATGAATCTCCGAATAAATCTTGTGCAACCTTTTGTGCACTGATTATTTACACTATAGGTATTATATGCATTAATTAACTTTGATAGTATTTCAGGATTTGAACTTTTCTTTACGGGAGGTTAACAACAATGTGATGTTTTATTATAGATGCATATGAGGAAGCTCGACTCAAACATCCACACGCAACTGTGATTTCTGACTGGTAGACAGATGAGGATGATGATCGCCTGTCATACATCTAAAGACAGAACAGGTTTGTTTGCAATTATTTTAAACACATACTGTCAACATTATGTCATTGATCTATTACAACCTGTGAGTTTTGCCCTGGCACTATACTAAAGTGATGTTTTGTTTTGTAAATGTATCTGATCAAGGGACAGTATAGACACATCTATACCGTGATGAAGAAAAATTATTTGGAACAAAGAGGCTGGATAAAAGGCAGGTTTGAAGATTTCAGAAATCAATGCAGCACCACAAGTACCATCACCATCAATGACTATGTTAGAAATCTTAAGACCACCATCAAGATGCACAGATACTGTACATTCCAGTACACCAGGCGTGTCCAAACTACGGCCCGCGAGGCTTTTTATAAATATCAATAGAATCTGGCCCGCTATACAAAAATGAACGTAATTCAATAAATAACCACCGGGTGTCGCTATTACATGCATTCAATTAAGCAGCAGTTCTTGTTATGATCTGTCTGTCTGTCTGTCTGTCTGTCTACACACAGTTGAAGTCTGAATTATTAGCCCCTCATTGATTTATTTCTTCTTTTTTAAATATTTCCCAAATGATGTTTAACAGAGCAAGAACATTTTTACAGTATGTCTGATAATATTTTTTTCTTTTGGAGAAAGACTTATGTTTTATTTCGGCTAGAATAAAAAGCGGTTAATTTTTTTATGAACCATTTTAAGGTCAGAATTATTAGCCCCTTAAGTCTTCAGAACAAACCATTGTTATAAAATAACTTGCCTAATTACCTTAACTTGACTAGTTAACTTGATTAACCTAGTTAAGCCTTTAAATGTCACTTTAAGCTGTATAGAAGTGTCTTAAAAATATCTAGTCAAATATTATTTACTGTCATCATGGCAAAGATAAAATAAATCAGTTATTAGAAATGAGTTACTAAAACTAATATGTTTAGAAATGTGTGGAAAAAAATGTTTAACTCTCCGTTAAATAGAAATTGGGGAAAAAAATAAACGGTGGCTAATAATTTAGGGGGGCTAACAATTCTGACTTCAACTGTATTTATATATATATATATACACACACACACACGTGTCTGTGTGATGTATTTAAAATTTGGCCCGCAACAACGTTTGTTTTTTTGCATCTGGCCCTCGGCCCAAAAAGTTTGGACACTCCTGCAGTACACCTATGAACATTTACAGTCTTTGTTCTAGTGCAGTTTGAGATCAAGACAGAACTTATTGCATCTCGTGATGTCTTTGTAAGAATTGAAGACATCACTAAATTTGTTAAGGTTTAATGCAGCTAGAAAGTAAAGATCAACTAGAGAATATCAGCAGTGTCTAACCCACTGATGTATTTACAGAGGTTGTATGAGAATAAGCTACAGGTTGATTTATGCTAATCTGTTATTTTTCTTTTTTAGCACGACTGACTGAAGTTTTAAAATCATGCAACGTCATAAAGCAGCAGCTGGGCCTGATTCTCACAAAGCCAAAACAGACGTGATGAAATTCCAGATGTAAACACATTTGACCGTCCTTTGGCCAATTTGATTTGGAAAAGCTTGAAAATCAACTAAAGGAGCAGCCCGAACAAATGAAGAAACTGGTAAGTTCAAGCTCTTGCTAATTTCAAAGTGTTTTAAGTTTATTTGTTTTTTTTATTGTTTTTTTTTTTTTGCTTCGTAGGTAGCCTACTTTTTTCCTAATTTTTTCTTTTTTTATACATTAGTACTTCTTCACTACTAATTATCTGTTTATCTTTTAATCACAGATGGAGTGAGGACAAATGTCCATACCACGCCACTGATAAAGAAGTGGAAAAATGCATTACAAGGTAGCTACAACTTGCCCCTGACAGGGGTGGAGGAAGAAAGAAGAGAAAGCTAATGTGTCAAATGTCTAAATCACTATTTTGTTTTATTTTTTAAACAACATTTTAAGTGTATTAGGATGTTCCCTGATACTTGAACAATTTGTTTCTTTCATTTGCATTTATATATATATATATATATGTATATGTGTATATATATATGTGTGTGTGTGTGTATATATGTATGTATGTATGTATGTATGTATGTATGTATGTGTGTGCGCCAAATTATGAAGAAACATCTTGATACATTTTTAATAAACGTAATACAAATAAAATTATAAATATAAAATTGCACAAGACGTGTATATATATGAAATGTATAATCATCTCACTCATGTCTTGCTGTTTGTGCAATTGATTTTGTTCAAGTTTATTTAAAAATAAGTTTGACTTTATACTTCTGCAATTATATATATATATATATATATATATATATATATATATATATATATATATATTTTTTTTTTTTTTTTTTTTTTATTATTTTAATGTTTTATTAAAAAATGTTTCAAGATGTTTCTTCAGAATTCTGCAGTACTTTTCACAAGTTTGACTTGGATATTTTACGGATTGTCATTGGTATTTTTAAGATGTTTCTTGCTATTTCTTAAATTGGTTTCTATATTTAGGTTTATATAAAATTTAGCTGTTTTTTTACAAATTTTTAATTCAAGTCTATTGGGAAAACAGGGTTGTTTTAAAAACATCTGTGTTTGTGTGTAATTTTTAGATTTTTTGTTTAAATCTTTCTGTGTGTCTTTATTGTGTTGTTTTATTGTTGTTTTTATATTGATATTCTTGTGCACTACAAATTATTTATAAAATTTTAGTACTATTTTTTTCTTGCAATCAATAAACGTTTAACATTTATTAATTTTGTCATTTGTCTGATTATTTTCGTTACAGAATATGTATGCAGTTTGCACTTTATTCAAAGGTTAAACGCAGTGCTTACACTTTGTGTTTACATTATAGCCTGTGTTTGCTGTTATATAAATAAACTAATACCATATATCAAGTACCAATGTAATACCAAAAGGTTTTATAAGGTGTATAAATACGGAGTCGCGCCAGCTCCGGGCCGCAGCGCACATTACCCTCGCGCCGATTCCGGCGCGGATGCGCAGCGTCGGCTCGCTTACGGCCGCCGCATCTGGCCCGCTTGATTCGGGCCGGAATCGGGCAGTGAGTCCACAGTCATCCGGCCCGAGTCCGGCAGCCGAAGTTGGGCCGAGGGGTAAGTCTCCGGCAGGCGACAATCTAGCCGGAACTGGCCCGAGTGTATTTTGCTATCTGGGATAAAAGATAGTAGGCCTACATGAGTTTAAGAAAAGTCTGGGATGCACCCCATTTAAACGGCACCTGCGCTAAAAATCACCTTTTGGAAGCTGTTTGGTGTAGGTATAATGTGTCCAGTCATATTGGGGTGATATAAACACAATAAGTCTTTTTTTATTTTTTATTTCCAGACGTTAAAATAAGATCCAAATCCCTCCCATTTTGAGGCCCACCTCAACGTGACATAGGAGTGCGGTTTCCCTGCCCACCAAATTGACTGACAACCACATTTGAACATGTCTCCGTAGTAACATGTATAATCCAATGTATAATCATATCAACAAGACAGGACGTGCGCAAAGCAACTGGGATTTAAAGATTTGTTGAACTCGCTGTGATCATCTGCACCTCAAAAATGTTTTTTATAAGTTTAAAATGTTTTTTTTTATTCATTCAAAACTTTCATTCATTCATTTTATTCATCTATTGCAAAAAAGATTTTATCTGACGCAGCCAAGGCGGAAATTGAGGCACACTTTCGTAAGTATGTGGGAACGGTGGGTGTGGAACTATAGCATTAAAGGCACAGGCAACAAAAAACAGTTACAGTGTGTTCAGCGCAGAAAATTCCAACATACTGAAAAGTATAATAAATAATCTGTTGGTTGTTTTCAGCTGAAACTTTACAGACACGTTTTGGAGACACAAAAGACTCAGCTTAAATCTTGAAAAAGAGGTAGAATAGGTGCCACTTTAAAGACTTAATGAAGGTTTTGGGAAATCTCAAAAGTATTGTCCTCAAACCTAACAAAGCATTAAAACTGGTTTTAGGCATAAAACAATTTTCAACTACATAGACAATTAACCATTTTGTCAGAGTCTAGTGTTGTATTCCACACGGTTCATTTGCACAGCTACAAACCTGCAAAGTATTTGGTGAGATCTGCAGAAAAGCAGACGGGGCTCATTATACTCTCATCTCAGCACTTTATGATTATGTTTGAAGAGTCGCTTCACTGTTGTGCCTCAGTGGTGTCCACAGAAGCATATCAGAAATAAATGGTAGCAAAGATTTTTTTTTTGGCTGAGACATCACATGTGTGTAAGGGATATGACGATAAGACTCTCCACCTTCTATATAAATCAGGCCTCGGAGGAGTATTTATTGTCAGTTTAGCTTTTAAGGCTCACCTTAGCAGCTAAAATGGCTCTTCAGGATGTTTGTGGTTTCACAGAGACATTTGATGACACCAACTCATCCAGTTACCAACCAAATGAGATGGGATACATGTGGAGGACACCGTTCGAGTTTGACAGAGAGAGTTCTTTTAATTTTCACCTTCCAGCTCAGCAGAGCTGCAGAAAAAACACAGCATCAACTCTTTTCTCTTCAACTCTTTCACCTCACGAGCAACCATTTCATTTGTCACATGGGACCACCACTTTGGGTTTTATATTCCAGGATGGTGTAATAGCTGCTGCGGACACTCGCGCCAGCTGTAAAGGTCTAGTTTGCTGCCCGATAACTCATAAGATTATGCCTATCCACTCTCACCTGGTGGTGAACACCTCAGGTAGCGGTGCTGATTGTATGCTGTGGGAACGGATTCTCACACGTGAGATGAGGCTTTACCAGCTTCGCCATCGAACGAGACTCAGCATAAATGGAGCCGCAAAGCTGCTCTCCACTATGCTTCATCCATTCAAAGGGACTAATGTCTGTGTTGCAGCTACTCTTTGTGGATGGGATGGAGAAGAATCTCAGATACAATGGAAAACAAGCATGGGAACTGTAAATGTTAATGAATCAATGGCTCAGGATTCCACTCTGTCTGCAATTTCTGATGAATCTGCTCTAGGTAGTGAAAAAAGAGCTTCAATAAGTGAGCAGGAGGAGATCCTGAAGGACGTGCCAGATCAACAGAATCGCTCTACTTTTGGAGGACGGTTTGGTCCCAGGGTATGCTATGTTTGCAGTGACGGCTTGCAACTGAACGGAGAGATAATATCAGTGGGTTCAGGGTCACCCTATGCATACGCCGTGCTTGATGACGGATGGAGATGGGGAATGACTGTAGATGAGGCAGTGGGACTGGCCCGGGAGGCTGTTTTCAGAGCCACTCACTGGGATGCCTACTCTGGGAATAATGTAGACCTTTTCTATATCACTGCCCGTGGCTGGAGACGCAGAGAGAGAGAGGATCTAAAGGAGGAGTACTACAGAGAAAGGGAGAGAGAGAGGGAGAAGATCAAGGAGAGGGAGGAAGAGAGACAGAAGAGAGAGCTGGTTGAAGGGGATGATGATGATGTATATTCAGTACAATGCGGATAGGGACACAAGAGGTGGAAAAACAAAAATACATGGATGGAATGTGAATGCGATGGGTGGAAGTATTCGTGAGTAGAACAATGTCAAGCTGGTCATTCGACAGCAGATAAGACAGAATGCACAATGCACAGGGAAGGCAAATATATATGTTTATATGAATCTTTTTCAACCAAATTAATATTTTTATAATAGTTTTTAATTACAGATTATTATAAGTCATCAGAAAAAAGGAAGTGGATTTATTTTTAAAAAAAAATCTATTAAATTCATGTTTATTCATAAAGCTCATAATACATGCAATGACTCAAATACACTTTACTGAAATGCATGTTTCCTGCAATTTGGTGCCTGTTAGTGTCCATCAGGGACCAAAGACGATACAAATTATTCAGTTTGCTAATGACAATATTCCAGGCGAAATCTATGAAGTTGATTAAAGCAATGATTGCATGCTGTGATCATTAACACAAGAACTGTTAGTTTGAATGTTAATTAAGAGTCTCAAGTCCTATTCTGAGACATACAGACTACTACACCCCATGTAGAACAATTATCATGCTGTTAATCAAATTTAAAGTGAAATTGGAGTTGAAGTTTATAAGATTCTTAAAAAATGATAAATCTGAGGATGATCATAGTTTAATGACACAAGATCAGGGCATACAACAAGGCTACAACAAATGATAAAAGCAGGGGTGCCCAAACTCGGTCCTGGAGGACCGGTGTCCTGCAGAGTTTAGCTCCAACTTGCCTTAACCTACCTGCCAGGATGTTTCTAGCAAGCCCAGCTTGATGACCTGGCTCAGGTGTGTCTGATTGAGGGTCAATTCAGGACACCAGCCCTCCAGGACTGAGTTTGGGCACCCATTGTTAAAAGTGTCTGGATATTTTGATAAGTAGATATATATGTACAATTTAATAAACAAAACAAGAGGAACCAAAATATTAATTAACTCAGTAAAGGCATATGATATTTTTACCCTTTTGAATGATTTATGCTGTCATGAAATATTTTTCAGAAGCTACTTTGTTATAAAAATCATTATATTATTTATGTTTTAAAAGTGAATTGCAGAAAAAAAATGTTTAAATATATAATTGTTATAATATAATATAGTTGAAGCTGGAAGGGCATCCGCTGTGTAAAACATATGCTGGATAAGTTGTAAATTCATTCTGCTGTGGATCCCCTGATGAATAAAAGGGACTGAGCCAAAGGAAAATTAATGAATGATTTGTGCTAACTATTCTATTTTAAATGTGCTTACATAGCATTAGCATCATCATTGTTGTGTGATCAATCGGTGACTTGAGAAGATACACTCAAAAATATTAATTAATTCTCTAAACGATCATTGTCAGCCTCTTTCATTGATCGTTTAGGGAATTAATTAACATTTTCTGAGCATATTTCGTTTGATTAAATAGCTTGAATCATGTGTGGCAATTTTGCTGTAGTCGGTCATCCTGAGCGGTAGATGGCGATGTGGTTCCATGATGTTTCACTTACTCACATGTAACATACAAGAAGCAGACGCCACTTCTGGTCAGTTTTCTGAAACATGGCGCTGTCTAGTATTTTGCGGAATGAGTCTGCGGATTTTTCAGATCCAATTGACCGGTCTTTTGCTCACGGATGTGGCCTAAACCAGACAAATTTCGGCTTTGGAGCCGCTCTGGGTGACAGCCCAAACTTCGCCGTGAAGACTCTGGGTGAAGACGATGAACCGGAGAGAAAAATCGAGTTTCTTCACGGCACGACCACCTTAGCATTCAAAGTGAGTTCATTTAACGTTAGCCAGCAGCTAATAGCATCTGAAGAGTTTAAAAGCTGTGTATTCTTCCTTTCTGTTAACATCTCAAAAACGTAACAATTATACAATCAGGACCATGTGTCTGCTGCACTCATATTTATACATGATGTGTGTGCTATGAATAGAGAAATGCTCAATAGTCAAATAACTAGAACATGAGGCTGTTAACGTTAGTTAAGTTACTCAGTCGCTATGTTTACATCAATGTTCATTCAATTGTTTACGTCATTATATTTGATGAATGTTTTGAGTTGTTTTTTTGTGTGCGTGTGACTTAATTCCTGAATAAGAGCGGCCCCATTTTGTTTTACTGTCAATAACCGTAGATTATTGTGTCAAACAGCATTAAAAGTGTTTATGGCTATACGAAGTTTGCGAGTTTTTATTAAAAAAGGCAGAATAGGATTTTATTAAAGTATGGATGTTTACATACTCCAGCTTTACTCCTTTATGTAAAATTAAAGCCTGTCAGGATAAGACCGAGTATGACACAGCACCTAATGTGCTTTTTCATTGTGGCCTACTCTGCCTACATTTTATCATAATCTTATGTAGACCACTAAGTTATGATTATTTTAACCAACACATTTATTACTTGAACTGAACTGAGTTTGGGTTATTGACAAATGTGTTGTCTACATATTAAAACTAATACAGTTTTGTAATAGTTTCCATTTTGCCTGCCCTTTTTAGTTGCATGATGTTTATTTGAATAAGTGGCATTAAATGTATTCTAATAAAACCTATGTTAGGGCTGGGCTGAGAAACATTATATTAAATCGCAATAAAATTTGTGTCAATAACACTAAGCTCTGCACATTTTTACTCTAAATTGATCTAAGAGCCAATCACACAGCAGAAATGTGCAACAGTAAGTATCTAAAAGTGTGTTGATATTACAGATGTACTGTCTTTTTGGCCATCGAAAATGTATTATCGGAAAATAGGTTATGCCATTTAATGTACTGTAATTAAAGGGATAGTTCATCCAAAAAATTAATTTTCTGTTAATTTATTCAACCTCAGGCTGTCAAAGATGTAGGTGAGTTTTTTTCTTTAGTTTATTTTACATATTATGAAATTATGTTGCAAGTCAACAGCTTTGAGCTGAGGTGTCCAAACTCTGTTCTGGAGGGTCAGTGTCCTGCTGAGTTTAGCTCCAAACTTGCTTCAACACACCTGCAAGGAAGTTTCTAGTATATCTAGTAAAAGCTTGATTAGCTTGTTCAGGTGTGTTTGATTAGGGTTGGAGCTAAACCCTCCAGGACCAAGTTTGGACACCACTGGCTTTGAGAGTCTGAGAGTCAAATTATTACCTGTGGCTCCTGATAGTACAATTAGGTCTTATGATGCAACAAAGTCGGTCCATGCAAGAGACTAAATATTATTTCCGACTACTGAGTGAGAACATGACATTCTCAAATAATTATATGTGTTGTTTAGTGACAATTTAGAATTTAGCAGGAAGATGAAAATGCTGTTTTCATCAAAATAGTCCTTGCCTGTGCTTCCCCTGAATGCTGGAACCTGTATTAAAATGATTGTGTACGCAATCTAAATCGGGAAAATGACATTTTACAGATTCACAATGACTGAAATTAGGGTTGGGTGATAAATTAAAATGTCATGCACATGTTTTCAGGGATGCTTGGTTCTTTTATCAGTAGTAAATATTCTCCAAATGCCAGAGGGTGCTTTTGCATGAAAATTCGAATAAGCCTCAAAGAAGAAACCCAGGAAATCCCTGTTGTTGCTTAATAAACTGTTTATTAAACTGCTTTTTTAAAATTCAACCTAACTAATAATTCGGCCTGTGCAATATTGAAAAAAAAACTGGCATTGTGATATTTAGTTTTTATGCAATACATATTTTGATATTCAGTATAATTTCACTTGATTAAATTAATTGGTCTGTTTAAAAATAATCATAGAAATGAATTAATTGAGATGATTTTGTAGGGGAGAGAATATCCATAAAATATAATAAACCAATCACAAACATTGATAAATACAGTAGAGCAAAGACACAAATTAAACAGTGTTTCTTGATTTTCTGGGGGTCTAGCTGTATTTAGGCACAAATTAAATGATCAAATGTAAAATAGCACTGTATAGTGTAGCTTTATCATATATGCACATAAATACAATTAATCTTTCTTAAAGTTACAAACATAATTTCTTATGCTTAAATTATTTCAAGTGTTTTGAAATGCTCACACATTTACAGGCCTTAAAAACACATGGAAAATTATTAACTAAATGGTAAATTTATGGTTAAAATGTAGGCCTGACGCAATAATAAACATATCAGTTTTAGTGTAATAATGAAAATGACTGAAAAAATAATATTGTCCTTCTTAATTGCATACAATCAAGTCTTCCTAACATTTTATCTGATTTTGCAGCCTCTGTCCAACCTGAAATCTCACACAGAATTTTAAGACATTTTAGGACTAGATTTGATCAAGCGGTTTTTACCAGATGTCATATTGGGCATACAAGAATAACCCATGTTTTTTTGCTCCAAGGTGAAAACCCTTTCCCTTACTATAAAACGCATTTTACTAGACTGTCCTGCTTTTAATGATTCCAGAAGAGTTTTTTTCTGAAATGAACTCTCTTAAGGACTATTTTAGCAAAGTGACACCAGAAAAGATTTTAGAATTTTTATCATGTATTAACAATAAAAATCCTATTTAGATTGTTGATTTTTTAAATATATTTATTGTTGAAATGTTCCTGCCATGAAAATAGCCCTGGTTGCCGACATGGCATAAAAAACATTACATTGTGACCTTTATCATCTTGCTGATCTCTGTTTGAGGTGTCTGCAAGTTCAGGGAACTTTTTGTTAGAAATTTAATAGTTTGCAAAATTAAAAAATCCATGATAGTCTTTTGGGCAGCCAGTCTTAAGATTTCAGTAGCCTGAAATTAATTCAAAAGGCCTAAATAGAAAAGTCCTTATTTACTAAATAAAATAAAATACATTGGCAAAAAAACAAATTATAATGGAATTCATCATAATTAGGGCCAGATGGAATCTGCGGATGTTTTTTGCTATTTCTGTGGAGAATTTTGGTAAAAATCTGCAGATTTCTGCGGAATCATTTTGGAAATATCATAACTAAAACCTTTATGTGAATTAAAAAATAATATCTTCACTTTTATTTAGTGTTTAAAATGCAAA